AATTTGAGTCAAACTTATTTTTAGTCTATTATATCTTTTACTTATCTTATGGCCAGATTATGGATTTTGTCACAAAATATCTATAATTTATGAGAAAAATTAATATTTTTATTAGTATTATTTACCTTAAACCTTCATATTTGTAAACGAATATATTACAAAATAACCAATAAAGCTTAAGTAACTGCATAAAATCTAAAATTGGCAAAATATCGAATTTTAACAACTATCTCCCATTTAATGCTAATAATTCTATGTCCAACGTGACGTCACCGTCAGTCAGCTGCATGCGCAGGAACATACCGTTAGTCTGTGTATCGTGGAATACGCTAAATTATTGATGATTTATTTATGGTTCCACTGACAAATACAGTGACAGTAGACTTTTTAAGTACGTTTTGTTTACCTAAATTATCTTTTAAATGTTTTTAAAATATATTCCAAAAGTAATTAGTTAACATGCCTTAAGTATATAATCGTTAAGTTACCAATTACATACCATGAACTATTTTATGACCTGCAAATAATATTAAGAAAAAACCTAAAAACGGTAAAAACGTATAAGTCAAATTTTATATTTTTATTGGACAAGTTCGAGATGACGCCCTATGGAGTGAGCAGGGCACGAGCAGAGCTGTCAAGTCAGGGAGCGAATGTAGTAACACCTCAATCCAGTATGTCAGTCAACGGTCAGTTAATTATTATGCATTACAATAGAATAAAATAAACTTTCAGAATTTACTTATAATAATCTATATGAGTTAAATAATTTTAAAATACAAATATTACCTAACACAACCCCACAGAACAATGATATGTGCCGTTCATTGACATAATTGACATTTCATTATTTAACTTCCCGACAGATCTCGATCTTCTAACACAGAGTTAAAAGAGTGCACTCGGAGTCCATACTCAGAGTCATATCGAACGCGACAGATCACACTCAAAATCTCTAAAAAAAATGCGAAAATGAACTTAGAGCAACCTGAGTTTCTACTCCAACTCACGGATTAAAAGTATGGTTAGAAACTAACTGTAAGTGAAACCATTTTTGCATCACACTAATATGACGTATAACACAAAATTTCCTTTCCTTATTCGGACAAAAATATTTATTTAGTTTTTTTTGTTATTGCATTGGGAATTCCCGTGAGCTCAGTTTGAACTACACTGGAACTAATTCCTCACAGCCTATTTTATGTTTATGTTTAAGGATCTGGAGTATATTCCACATCCTGAGCCTTGTTTTGTTTTAGAACCGTCTGTGTAGATATGAAACTTACCTGCCACTACTGGCTCATCTATTTGTTTTGTTATAACTTTATGTGACTTATAAAAAATATATTTTGGTGACATGGAGTCCATGTTTGCTTGAGGCAGTGGAAGCGTATCGAGCTCCTTCCGCCTCACCAAATCCTATGTCAGGTTCTATTCCAACTGTGTGGAGTCATGACATTGTCATTAAAGCTATCTCCCCTGATGTAAATAACAGGAAGAGTGAGACTAAGAATGACTTCCATGGCTCAGGATGGTGTGGTTTTAATAGCTCCTGTTATGCATGCTGTTCTGTGCATTTGTTCTAGTTTGTGAATATTTGTCAATCATTAGGGTAATGCTAATGTAAAGAGTGGAACAAAAGGTAATAAACTTTTAATAAACAGTTTTGTTGGAATAATAAAAGGCAACTTTTGTTCACTATTCCGAAATTAAATTCCAAAATTCGAATTATCGGCCACCTTAATATTCACAGATAGACATTTAACGGGAAGTCCATTTACTAGTGTATGAATTATTAATGCAAATATGAGAATTTTTATTATTCTTTTAAGAGAATATAATTCCTGTCATGTGATCAATCGTGTTGACTGAATTTTATTATTAATAAGTACAACAGTGTTGCATTATCGCTGTGGTACTTGAATTGCCATGACTACGAAACAAACTTCTTTTGATACAAACCATTATATGTTGGTTATAATCATTGTCATATCGCTTCTCCGGTAAAACAATAACCTAAGTGCAAATTTAAATTTTTTTAGTTGTGTGCCAGAATTGATAAAAATAAACTTTCCGGTGACAAAATATCATAATTATAGTACAAATAGTTGCCGCGTGAGACGTTTGTGTTGTTGTCCCAACCGCCAGTTTTTCTAACTGGTGCCGTGAAGAAAACGACGTATTTGACAAGTCTTTGTGATACGAAATTGTGTAAAATCTTTACAAAATCTAGTAAAACAACTTCGAAAATATATGTTGCGTCAATATTGTCAACCACACTTCTGTGGGTATTTATGTACCCTTTTGCAATATACAGTAGGTTAATTTTCCAATACTGACTCCAGGAAAACGGTATAGAAATAAAATGCTATTGAATAAGCAGAAATAGGAAGCGTCGCCGACTGCGAACCTCAAAAGCCCATCCTTGCCTTCGAAAGTTTTGGTTGAACTAAAATACTCTTTTTGTGTCTCTCACTCCCATATATAATTAATCGTCTCATCTTTATTATGTTTGATGCGTCGGTTAACGTACTGTATACCAGGTGTCCACACGAAAACTTAATACTTAATTATTTTTGGTGTTTTTGAAGATAACGATTTGCAATTTTGGGTAATTGTTCAGGATATAGGGGGACAATAAACGGTGTATCTCATACCGCCCCATTGGATCACCCGTCGAGTCCACGCCAAGGTTTTATATGACACCCTATATTGTTGGTTGAATTTGTTTGAACGCAATTTTCTTGATATCCTTATGTGAAAAAACTAGTTCCTTACATCAAGAAATTATTAACTCCGAAAAATCATCAGTTATTAGTGATGAAAATACTTAAAACAAGAAATATTCAAATTTTCGTTAAATTAAATGCTCAAAATGTTTACCGTTTACAATTAAACAAAAATAACGTCTATTTTCAACAGCATTTTCTAAAATGTTCAAAGACTTTTGGCGTTAAATTTCGACAGTCCTCTGTTATTCTATTATGTAAATCGGCTATTGATTGTGGCGATGTCTTATAACCAATAGCCGGAGAGGCTAGCCGCGAGATGTATGCATCCACGTTCTCGCAAGTCAATCAGTGATCTCTGCGGTCGCGGTGACTCCTGGGACGTTCCACCATTGGCCGTGTCACCTTGGGACTTAACCGACTAGTGTTTAACTATCGACGACGAGTAAGTAAAAATAATTTTAAAAATAACTCCTCTATTTTATTCAAGTTTTTTCCAGACACTATATACAAAAACTGTAGGTCCAGTCAAATTTTCCTTGAAGAGTATTGGGCCAATTACTTGGTCATTAAGAATTCCAGCCCATAAATTTTTTGGGGATATTGTGAGGGACCCTCTCAGAAAATAATACTGTTAATAATGTTGTCTCTATTCATAAGACCATTTAAGTAAAAGAAATTTTCCTCGCTGAAGCAAATACTTCGCAAACATTTCAATTTTGCAGAATCTTATCAATCTGTCATTATTTCACGAAAGTCACCTAACTCTTAGGTGAAGTTGAATTTTATAAGAGAGCATTTTGTTTAATTTTAATATCTTATGGTAAGTTGATTTTGGCACTCCTGAAACTTCGGATAATTTTCTCAACGAAAGCTCTGGATCTAAATTAATGTGCCCAAGAATAATTGCTAGTTGGGTAGTTTTATCTCGTAAATCACATTTATTTGTATCCATTTTTTTATTATTTACAGATCCAGTTTGTAAAAATTGTCGAAATACCACTCCTACATAAACAACAGATACGTTTCTGTTTGGATGATTTTTATTAAATAGCGTGGCCTTAAGGGAATCATTTTCGTTTGTAATCCAATATAAAATCACAATTTCAGTTACCTCTTTCAGAGTGTAAACCATTTTTGCAAAAAATCCAATCTTTAAGAACTTTAAATTGGTACATTGGTATACAAAATATAAAATGACAAGTTCTTAACCTAATCTAAAATGACGAAAAGACTATGTTATAAAATTAAAATAAACCCATAGCTCTAGCCAAATCTAGGGCGTGACAAGAGTTATTTTTTAAATTGATTGTACGAGATTCCCTATTATATCACAGTTATAATTATTACAAAGTCGCATAACTCTGGATAATGGGCCCGTTCACTTTCATTTTTGAATGTGAATTAATTATAAATTTATAAAGATATTAAACTCTTTTGTCTGGTGGTACTTTTCCCGTTAAGATATTTTTGCTAGAAGTAAGGAAATTCCCATAAAATTCTTTCAGTGACTCATTGCGTCAGAAAACCCCTAATTCCCTTCAGGTCTTGTATCGGTTAATAGTTAAAAGGGCGCGGTTGTCGGATGTATCCCTAATATAGCATTTCTGCATTTATATATGTAATTTAAATAGTAAAATTCCATTATTTTTCTAAAAATCATGAACTTATATTTTCAGATTTAAAGCTGGGAGCTTATTTTTTACTTTTTAATTAAAACAATGATTATTGCTCAGGTTGAAAATTAACCAGGCCATAATCAAAAAGTAGAAATTTGATTTGCAATATTTATCTGGTAAACGTGGCAACGTTGCATTTATTTCTAGAAGTGTGTGTAGACAACACTATTTAGAAGTACTTACAACGTTGTCACGTTTACTAGATACATTTTCTCAAATAAAATTTCGATCTGGTAATATTTAGTTTGAGTAATACTAATTGTTTTTATTAAAATTTAAAAAAGGTAAGGCTTCCAGCTTTATCTGAAAATATAAACACATTATTTTTAAAAAATAATATATTTTTATCATGTAAATTTCTTTAGTAAATGCAGAAGAGGAATGGTGGTGCAATGATACATCCGACAACCGCGCCCTTTTAACTATTAACCGATACAAGACCTGAAGGGAATTAGGGGTTTTCTGACGCAATGAGTCACTGAAAGAATTTTATGGGAATTTCCTTACTTCTAGCAAAAATATCTTAACGGGAAAAGTACCACCAGACAAAAGAGTTTAATATCTTTATAAATATATAAATAATTCACATTCAAAAATGAAAGTGAACGGGCCCATTGATTCAAATAATCTAGTGTGTTCTATGCTGTGGAAGCTCAAACACAACTACATTGCGCTTTAACCTAGCTGGTAAAGGAAATGACAATTCCTAATTTATAAAATTCGTAACTGGAAAAAAGAGGGTGTAAATCTACAAATTTTCCAACATATGACTACAGTATTAGTTTTAAGAGTCCTTTTCAATAAATAGTTTAATAAAAAAAAATTGACGTATTTTATATGTAATATTATCGTTGCATAGAAAAAATATTGAAACATAATTTTCTCAAAACGTAGTAGTTTGCACTTAGATCAATTTTCCACCGAAGAAGAGATATTCATTATATATTCCCTTTTTGAACATAATTCCTATTCATGGCAGTCCCAAATATTTGGAAAATAAAGTCGTGCTTCACACTTGTCATTGTGACTGATATTCCTGGAATTGTATCATTTATTATATTACCCTTGACAAGAATTTCTTGAAATACTTACCCAGCACTGCTTTTTAAAATTTTGTTATTGTATAGCCCAAATTGAATGTAATTAATAAGTAAGGACGTAATTTTGCAGATTAAAACTTACATTTTCTATTAAAACACAGACCTTTTTAAAAACTTAATTTTTTGCAGAGATCATTCAGTATTTTGCACTGCATTGTTACTAACAGCTATAACACAAGCACCGGCTCGGCCAGTTATCAGGGGAGACAAAGTGATCCATTCGTTTGCATTTGGATCATACTGTTCAACAGTGCGAAGGTAATTGTTGCCATCATAGCCTCCTATAGCAAATAATTTGTCTCCGAAAAGACAAGCTGCTACGGCATCTCTTTTGCTTGACAGGGGGGCTACTGTGGACCAAACATCAGTATCTAAAGAACGTAATACTTGTTAAAAATACATTTTCACGTGACAATTATGATATTAATTAAATTAATTCTATATAATTTGGTCCATAAACCAAACATATCTAAACAAATTATATTTATAGCTATCATAAGACCTAACATATTTTAATAGCAAATTTTCACAAAAAAACATTTTTTTGAGATAATGTAGTTAAAAAGTACTTACTTGGGTCATATCTTTCTACACAATCGAACCTCGATGCTGCGGGATTATTAGCAGGTGCATCTTGACCTCCCATGGCATACAAATATCCACTGGCAACTGCAACGCCCACCCCACCTCTTCTTCTTGTCAATGGAGCTATCATTGTCCATTTATTGGTATGAGGATCATAGCATTCAACTGTTCTGAGACAGGAAGCACCATCTCTACCTCCCACTGCGTACAATTTACCACCCAAAACCGATATACCAGCAGAACAACGTTGATTTTGCATAGGGGCTACATACTGCCAGCTACGTGCTACTGGATCCCACCTGGAAAAATAAAGTTCGGTAAAATTTAAATTGATAGTATCGACCTTGATAATAAAAACATCGGTTATATTTTAAAGTCACTACTTTAAAATATAACCATCACTATGGGTCGCTTGGAAAAGCCCATGGACAAGTCTAAAAATTTGACACTTTTCAAAAGTGGAAAAGTATATGGCCCATGCCCGAAATTAAATTAACAAATTTGTCTAAATTTCTAAAAAATAAAGGCAAAATATGGTTTAAAAGGAAGAAATGACAAATGATTACTGACTTTTATATGTTTTAACGATGTTTTCAAATTTTCGTTTTATTTATTAAAATAAACTTGTGAAAAAATTACCCAAAAATCCAAATATTGGAAGTGTTTTACAAATAATTTGCCTTAAAAAATGAAAGTACAAATGCAAATATTGTTCCCAAAGTGTTTTTGATAAAACCTCCAGGATGTCGACTACTTTTCATTGTGACTTTTCACTACTTTTCCGGACATGTCCGTCGGACTATACAGGGTGTCCCGAAATTAGACGGTCATATTTTAACAGCGTAATCATCCTAAAATAGGAGTAAAAATTTATATAAATACAGGTCCGAAAACGTTTCTTTTCCGAGATACAGGGTGTTAAAAGTGAAGTCCTGATGACACACTTTTGTAAATATTTTCTAAACGTTTAAAGATAACTAAGTGAAATTTGGTAAAATGCTTACCTTTTTACGCTCTATTTAATGGACTAAATCGCAGTTTTTGATCATCTTCATAGGTGGTTAAATTAGGGGGGGGGCTTAGGGTAAAATTACCCTAAGTTTTTTTTGTTGACACTTTTTAACATTTTTAACTATAAAATTTGAAAACCAATGTTTTTTTTATAATAAAGCTACTTTTGTTGCATCTCGCACCATTTTCAAGAGAAAAGCATTTGAAAATTTCATGATTATTTGATGTTATATTATTCGAAAGTGTCAACAATAATTGGTAGGCCTATGGAATCAGAAATTTGATTTTTTTTTAACTTTGGAAAACCGGTGACTAAAGAAATTTTTGAAAATATTTACAAAAATGTGCCCTCATGATTTCACTTGTAACACCCTGTTTCTCGAAAACGAAACGTTTTTGGACCTATGTTAAAATATGACCGTCTAATTTCGGGACACCCTGTATAATTCCTCTCAGGGGGATAGGTACAAAAAAATAATACAATGATTAAAGGTTTCATCGATTTTAATTCATAGATTGGGTTATCTATGATATATGGTGCTGGTCTGTTATGTTTGAATTTGAATAAAATGATGGATGACTTTGTCAAAAATGACAAATTAGGGTGTAACCTACCGCACCCAGGTACCATAATCATTTATTAATTCCATTTTATTAAAAAAAAGTTGCATTCTTATTAAATACCAAATTCTTCATTTAACAAAAATCTCCCAGATAATTAAATCTTATTTACGACACCTAATAAATAATATCTATAACCCAGCCCGTAAGAGATCCAATTTCTTAAAAGTGTCTGGGAACGCAATCTAAAACCACCATACAACACGAAGTAATAATCATTAAAACCCTTAACGCACTTATCTTAAGTCAGTTTTGAATAGGAACGTTGTTTTCGATACACAAACTTTCCAAGGCAAGTAATAAATCAGCCACCCCCCTATCCACCTAAATTCGTATTTTCTATGAGAAACAAAACGATTAAACTGTGTATAAAAACCAGAGTTAAATGAGATCAGAGGCATTCAATTTTTGTCATTTGATGTGCAAGCATACATTTGTTAGTTCACATTCAAAGCAATCACCTTATTGTCAGTACCCAGTTATACAGTCTGTACCTTTCCTAAAACGCTCTTCCTAAACGACGTCTATCCCACAATACCTCCAATTTCCCAAAGGTGTCAACGTCTCGACACCCAACGCCTCTCCGTTCTACTTCACTACCTTTCGACGTCCCAACAATATCACTTCTAACACCACTTAGTATTTCCTACCATTATATTCATCCCGACGCCCAACGTCTCGACGCTCGACGTCACTACGTCATCTCTTTATCCTACGTCCCCATCCGACGCTCAAGATCTCATCCGACGCCCTACGTCCTTACTTATCTACCTCCCTGCGTTTGGCGTTCTGCGTCACGACGCCCCTTCTCCGCCCCGCCATTCTAAATTTCGACGCCAACGTCTCAACGTCCCTGCTAATTATCCAAAATACAAAAATATAAAATGTCTGAAATAGAAACAGACGATAATATAAACCCAACGGTCTGTTTATCCGAGGGTGAGTTAATAACAACCAAGTTAAAATTATAAAAAATGGGAATTTATTGTTGAATAATGATGAGTATTATTCTGTAACTCATTATTATTCAATAATGGTGAATCTTTACCTTTAAGGAATTTATTGCTAGCCGACATCGCATTTAGCTCGTCCAGATGTGTATGCTATGGGCCATATTGCCTTCAAATTAATATATCACCGTAAAAGATAATATGAGTCTGGTTACCGAACTGTCAATGAACCCTCGCAAATAACAGCTCAGCTGATTGGGGTAAATGACACATCGGACGACTAGACTCACATTTATCCGAATATGCTTGATGTTACTACAGGGTTGGACTATCTTAGATAATTATCTCTTAATCTTCGCACCGTAGGTAGCTCTGAACATAAGGGGTAGTTTGCTAGTATTGCTCTGGCTCTATTCTAGTAAGGCTACATCTACATAAAACCCCCCTAGGTGAGGCTGAAATATAAGGGATATCCGCCTGTTATTGCAACGACGGTATCTCAGTAAGCGCACCTATATAAAAAAGAAAACAACGAAACAAAGAATTATTAAAGATAGTGCAATTCTGAGGACGTCTGCTGTCTATTCTCAAGAATTGTTTAATTACAAATATTTGATGGCAAGTGGCCTGTTGTTTGGGCGAGACACATGTGAGGTCTACCTTATATTAAAATAATCTGTACATATTTATTTTATTGGAGATCAAGAAAATAAATTAAGTTAAAAATACTTTGAGCATTATTTCATTCACAAATTTGTACCAAACTTTGCATCGAATCCTGGTTTATTTTAATTAACATTATCACAACGTGGGTATATAAATTATCAATTAATTAACTAGACGATCACTACACTACTAGAGGAAAAGGCCATATACAGTAAGTATGAATTACTTTGAATTTCACAAGGGGAGGGAGGTAGTTAAATTAAAATACGGGCTTTTAATAATTATCTACAAGACCAGGGGGTGGGAGGTCACAAGGGTTAAGAAAAATTTCACATTTATAGCAGGGCTGATATATCTAAGGGGGCCGCGACATAGACCCAGGTAATGAATGAGGGGTGACTGAGGCTAGGGGGAAATAGTAGTCAGCTTAAATTGGCAACACTTTTCTGATGCTCGTTTGGCGAAATTAACGGTTATCGTTTATCCTGCAGTAATAGTATTATAAAAACAGAGACAGATTTACTTTTAACGTGCACAATAATGTCAATATGGTACAAGTAGAATGAACCACTGTTTTCCTCTTAGTGGAATAAAAACTAAAAACATTTTGTGCTTTTTTTATATACCAGATTATGCAATTTATTTCCACTTTATTTTTATGTTACATGAATAGGTACATGAGTTTGTGCTGGGGTAAATAAGTGTTCATGTGAAAATTATCTCGGAAACTGCATTGTGACTGCACTCATCTCAAAACTGAATGCTGTAAATCCAGGATTTAAATCTTTCACAGTGTTGCTTCGGATAAATTGTGAAAAAGGTGTTGGACAAAACGTTTACAACCTAAAATTACATGAACAACACCATAGAAGAAGGAATTTTACCTTTATGACATTCTCTTTCAACATTTTTAAGTGTCGTAAGTACCAATAAGAATATTAAGAATAAAAAAGTTGAATATGAAAATGTAATTACTCGATTAAAATGTTGTAAATATGTGTGATTTAATTAAGAGCTGAGCTAGATAGATGTCTCATATAAACAAATTGCTGTAAAATGTTGATAAATACAAAACCATTATTAAAGTGTAAACAAATCAAAGAAAAATTGAAAAACCTAGAAATAAAGAAAAAATGAGTGCATCGGATCGAACATGGAACCTTCCAGTTGAGAGCCCGGTGCTTCTGTTAACTGGACCACCGAGTCGCATAGCTACGACAGTCGAATTTGTAGATTTTAAGTCACCAGATTCAGACTCTCGTCCGCACACACATGCCCTCTTCCAGCTCTTTCAATTTTCCAAAGCTACCCTTGCAACTATCGGATATAAGGATACCAAGCCTAGCTTGTACTAGAATAAAGTCTAAGATCCCTCATTCATTTACAAGTGTTAAGTTTTATTGTACGGGCCGCCGAATACGTGAAAGTAGGAAAATTGGTTTAGACACTGGCACTGAAAGGATGACATTAAGGAAACTTTACTGCTTGGTTGTTGCGAGAACGATTTAAATTGTGGTGAAGATGAGTAGATGTAAAAATACATAGCAGGTATGTTATATTAATACCGAGCGGAGAAGTACTCTATTACAGCCGAGCGTCAAGATAGCTTCAGACGCGAAGCTAGAATGAAGTTCTTCGAGGTATTCCATGGGAAGTAAATAAATATGTATTTTATAAAAATAGAAACCCAATTTTGTACGTATGTATAGATTTATAATCTAAATTTTTTATTGTTGATAAAACAATGTAGACTAAGAGCCAGCGATCGTCAGACCTAAGTTTTACTATAGTAAAAGATTAAGATTTTTATGTGTGTGCACATTATAGTAGATAATAACTTTTGGGTTTTATGAATATTGACTACGGGTGGATTTGGCAGATAACAGGTCCTTAAGGTACCAAAAAAGTCGGACAAAAACGAACGTTATAGTGTGGAAGATGATTTTATAATATATTTAACTGAATGATGTTATAATCCCCAATTAACAATTGCCAACACTTTTAGCGGGTCGTTACGTCTGCCAAACGTTTTCAAGGTATCGAAAAACTGCAATTTATAGAAAACTTTTTAATTGTTAATTTCTCAGAAAATGTTATTCTTGATCAAAGTTAGTACATGACGTAAAACTCACTATAAACATAATACATATTAAAAATTTTTAACCATATATGAGAGAAGTAAAACAATATGAATGTAGATTAATAGTAGAGAGCCTTTATTTAAAATAATTATTTATCAGCAAATGTGAACAGTTTGACACAACCAGCGGGTCTATCATTAAAAGGCCAGACGTAACTGTAGCGAACAATCAACTAGCAGGTAAGTACCAGGGATTTCCATAAATTCCAAGGTTGAGGATGACCTGATTAATTTTTAGGAAAGAAGACTTAATAATAGTTTTGTGATAATTAAATGTCAACAAAACTATCGAAATAAATTACTTTTGGTAAACAAAAACAAAGTCAAAGCTTTCAGAGATGTAAATATGGTTTTATATTAATAAATAATTTTAATTTATAAAATATATTTGATTTTAAACATGAGGAATTAAGATACAAAAAGGTATATTGAGATTTTATTAAAATTATTATTCTAAAGATTTATTTATAGGTATAAAAATAGGAATTAGTTCATCTTCATATTTTTTTAATGTTGGCAAATATTATACTACTCTTGTTCCGATACCTCCTCAAATTTTTGTTTAGCCAGTGCCTCTTTATTAACCAGTTTAAATGTTTTACCTATTGTGTGCTGCTACCCAATTATATACTAATGCCCAGATATTTTCGATCAGGTTTAGGTCTGGATAATAAGGTAGTAAACGTATGTTGTAACAATTCGGCTAATTTGTATCTTGTGGGGACGCGAAATTTATTTTCTTGAATAAATGCGGAATAGTTCCTTCCGGTTTTGTTAGTTTCGGAGCTGCTAGCAATCCATTTTTACATTTTCGTCCCAAAGTGAAGGCTTGGCAACATCGAAGAGGAACTCACAATAATAAGGGATCCATGTTTACGCGACAGCTTCCGTTCGAATTCTAATTTGGACCATGCGACAGTCGTGAAACGTTATCAGTCTATTTAGCACTTTCATCTCTATATTAAGAATACCAACGATCGTCAAAAACGCCACTGACTCATAAATGGGATGAACCTGAGAGAGAAGGAAATTATTGCGTTCTTTGTCATTTATGACGCTTGTGGCTTTTTCTAAGTTGATTCGTACTCTATCATAAGTTGACACTGGTCTGCATTATTTTACTAGATAGGATATAGCTTAGAACATATATAGTCTATTCAAGGGATATAGGGGTCTATTCTGTAACAATTTCTTTATATTTAACGGCCTTTAAAAATATTGGCGGCCTATAAAAATATGTTCGTATTCGTTAATTTACTTGTCATTATTTAAACAGATTTCTTTAAGATAGTCCTCTAATGTATTTTAAAGATCCGTTTAAATAATGACAGAAGTAAAGAAGAAAATATTTTTAAAGGCCGTTAAATAAAAAGGAATTGTTACAGAATAGACCCCAAAGTCACTTAAAAAACGTTCCGAAAAATTGGCCGATTTGGGCAAATATTATGGCGGACCTTAGATAATATATGTACAGATAGGCTACCCCTGTATAAATCTATACAATGTTGATGTCGCTCTAATAAAATCATTGTTTCTTTTTCTAATGAAGGCTTTCTCGCTCATATTAGAATCTTGAATCTTCAGCAGTAGCGTACGTAAACGGATTACATTGGATTATTTTAAATGTGAAAATAGTGACTGCAAATAGATTAAAAAAGTACAAAATAATGTTTTAAAAGATAGGTACGTTTTTATTGAACTGAAAACAAAATATGACATTATTGTCATGTCCAAAAATATAATAAATATTTTATTGCTTCTAAAACATTTAGAATTACAGCAAGGATTTGGAATTTTATAAAATATCTATACCTGTTGAAAAGCTATACAATGGTAAAACTGAAGAAATACATAAAGCATTTAATTTAAACATGACAAAATATTCCTAATAAGAATAAAACAAACCAATATATATTTACCTATTTAGTAGAAGTATTTCAGGATATTAAAAAAATATATAGGAATTTAATTTACTTTTCTAATGACTTTGTTTAAAATATAGATTATCTAGTTACTTTGTTTAAATTAGGTAACTAAATATTCTTATATTACTGATGATAGTTTATATTTTAGACCACGTACAAATATACAGTATGCATCCAAAAACTAATAATTTTTTTGATATTGCACATACTTTTTCACTCATCTTAATTGTGTATGTAATGTTTTATTTCTGTTTCGTAAGTTTGAAGCAGTACTGTTGGCAACAAAAAAGTCTTCGTAATGATTTTCTAGAAACTTCAATGTACAGTTACCAAAATATCTAGGTTTTCTGAAATAGGTACTCATATACAATTTAATGTATCAGCTTAGATCAAATCCAATGTTTGATTTACTTCTTAATTAATGGTGACTCAAATTTTGTTGATGAGAATTTCAGAGTCATACCTTGAACTTAATATTGAAGTGTATGAGGTACTTTTGTCCAAACTATAACTTCTTTTATTTGTTGGCAAGTTTAATACTCTTAAAGAAGGCCCATAATCAAATAATTTAGTATCTGAAGAAATTACTATACTAAAAACATTCAAACATATTATTGGTTCGCCAAATTTTTAGGTGACATAGGTTCACCACTACTCTTTTTTTCCTACTTTGTGTAATACAAAGTTCCTAAAAAGTAAAGATACAATTTTTAAAACTGCTCGATATTATTTAGAAACGTACAAACTTATAAATATATTTGTCTTTTGTATAGTTTTATTTCGGCCTGACGTGAAATGATTAGATTTTGGACATAGTCGGAACATCTGGGGGGGGGGGTACTTTATGGGGGACCGTTTTTATATTTTATGGAATATATCTGTTATTTGCTTGGAGAAAAAAATTGTTCAAATATTATTATCTATAATTTTTGCTTTATGTCAAAATTTCCTGAAATGGTCCGTATTCGAGAAATTTGACAAAATGTGCAAAATTCTGATTTTTATGAAAATTGTTGAAATAAAAGTTGTTTGCGATATCGATCTCTATAATTTTTGTTTATCCATGAATTTTCTAAAATGGACCGTAATCGAAAAATTGTAGGAAAAGTGCTAAATTTAAATTTTTCAGTATTTTCATTTTCAATGAATATCTATAGAAAAATGTTTCGAGGTAGATGTATGTGGAAAATGTATATATTTATTTTATACATTTATGGAGGTGCTGCAATAGGTTGTACAAAATAACCGGAAAAAGCCTGTAATAACTAGATAGGAAAGTCATGTGTTGGACACATCAGATTTTTTACATTAATAAAAATATTACAATATAAATGTTTATTTTTTTACAGTTTCCAATGATTTCCTCTATTTCATTTAAAATATATAAATCAATATTTGCATAATTGTAAAAATTATGTAAAGCCTTTAAATTTGTTCTTTATTTAATTGTAAATTACATTCGAATAGTCTTCACAAAATTTAGGTCATAACAGTATTTTCCTCGAATCGTACGATTGTAAAGATTGTTAAAAGTACATTTTTTTTTAAACAATTTTTGAATGTATATATATTTATGAGTTGTACAAATTTCAATGTGGTTTGTATAGTGTAAAAATGGTAGGAGGGACAACAAAAAGACCATGTATTAACCTGAAAGAGTTAGAAATGTTAATTAAAATTTCAAACAGTGGTAATAATCGGTAAATTTTGTTAGCTTTCCTAGACAAGTGTAGGTAATTTAAAATATATTTCAACATCTATATTGTTAAAATTAACTTTGCAATTATAAACTACCTACCTACATTATCTAGCCAAATTTTTAATATAAATCATGTGTCTGAAAACACCATGTATCCATATTTTTCTATCAGTTAAACATTTTCACTTGTATTGTTTAGATCTTCTTCTACATCTTTTAACCATATTTATATCCATGTTTTTCCTAGTTTTATTGTAACAATGGCAAACTCATTGGTTCTCGTTTCATACTTGTTCCGTAAAATGATTCGACCATCTAGGTATGTAGTTCTAGCTCAAGACTGTTATTTCTATTATCAATATCTCCTTTCAGTTGTAGTCCCCATAGGTGATAAAAAAATCCCTAGTGCAGTTTTAAGAATTTTCCTTTCCACTATAGGTACTTTAGAACTGATCCTTTATCTGTTATTTACATAGGTAGTATCAGATAGTATTACTATGATATAAACAATAAACGTTCATTCGTGAAGACACAATTAAGCTTCACGTTTCCATTTTTATATTTTCTTTCATCAAAAATCAAACTATGGGTGAATTGTCCCGAAGGACATAGCCTGCAAGAGGAATAGAAGAAGAATAAGAGGAAGAACTAATCAAATATTGGTTAGTTATGTCAAATTATCCCGCCATAATTTGCCCAAATCGGCCAGCAGTGTTGCACTTCCGGTCTCCTCGGTGGAACCGATTTTTAGTATGTCAAATATAGCCTATATCCTATCCAGTAAAATAATACAGATCAGTGTAATTTGATTTTTTTTTTAACGAAGATACCTGTGAAACTGTTGCTAGGAAATATAATTAATTGATTGAATTTGAGAGTTAGGTAGTTATTTTGCTAGTTACATACTGAACAGCACTTTTAATAATAACATTGTTTTTTTTTACTTACAAATATTCCAGACTTGAACGTACACCACCAGAATTGCGAGTAGCTGCAGAATAAGCTACTAAAGGTATGATTCCGGAAAATAACAGGGAGAAATACGAAAACACGGAGCATATAATAAGTGACATTAGATTATTTAAACAATCATTAAAGTTTAACACCTTTCAACTGTATTCAGGTAACTCCATCCATCATGACCTCCTACTGCATACAGAGTTCCACCTAAAACAGCAACACCCAATCCATGTCTATGGGTATTCATTGGTGATAATTGTGTCCAATTCCCACTTTCCATATCTAAGCATTCCATTGTATTTAAAGTTTTAAGTCCATCTCTTCCTCCAACAACTAACAATCTATAAAAAAAATAGAAAACCTATTAATATAATGCAAAAAATATATATAATACACAGGGTTGGTCATCGGTAACGTCTCTGTCTGTAGAGCCAAAACTATTTGATTTTTACTTTCCTATCTGTATACAGATATAAGGAAAGTATAGGAATCATGATTTTTTTCGACCGAGTTTTCGACGGATTTTTACGTTTTGAGGTCCCCTGAATCCGTTTTGACTATTTTCGCGATGATGTCTCTGTGTGTGTGTGTCTGTATAACGCATAACTCATGAACCAATACACAGAAAAACACCAAATTTTAAACTTAAGCTTTGTATCAGCGTCCAATGGGCTGATTATATTTTGGGCAGGGTCGGAACATCTGGGGGGGGGGGGGTACTTTATAGGTGGTCATTTTTATATTTTATGGAATATATCTGTTATTTACGTTTGGAGAAGAAAATTCTTTAAATAAAAGTTACTTCTAATATAATTATCTATAATTTTTGTTTAATGCAAAATTTTCCTAAAATGGTCCATATTCGAGAAATTTGACAAAATGTGAAAAAAATAATTTTTTATAAAAATTGTTCAAATAAAAGTTGTTTGTAATATAATTCTCTATAATTTTTATTCTATACATAATTTCTCTAAAATGGACCGTATTCGAGATATTTGAGAAAATGTGTAAATTTCGAATTTTGAAGAAAACTCAAAAACGGATAAAGAAAAAAACATTAAATTTTAAACTTAAGTTTTATTTCGGCCTGACGTGAAATGATTAGATTTTGGACATAGTCGGAACATCTGGGGGGGGGTACTTTATGGGAGTCCACTTTTATATTTTATGGAATATATCTGTTATTAATGTTTGGAGAAAAAAATTGTTCAAATAAAAGTTACTTCTAATATTATTATCTATAATTTTTGTTTTATGCAAAATTTTCCTAAAATGGTCCATATTCGAGAAATTTGACAAAATGTGAAAAAAATAATTTTTTATAAAAATTGTTCAAATAAAAGTTGTTTGTAATATAATTCTCTATAATTTTTATTCTATACATAATTTCTCTAAAATGGACCGTATTCGAGATATTTGAGAAAATGTGTAAATTTCGAATTTTGAAGAAAACTCAAAAACGGATAAAGAAAAAAACATTAAATTTTAAACTTAAGTTTTATTTCGACCTGACGTGTGATTAGATTTTGGACATAGTCGGAACATATGGGGGGGGGGGGTACTTTATGGGAGGCCACTTTTATATTTTATGGAATATATCTGTTATTAATGTTTGGAGAAAAAAATTGTTCAAATAAAAGTTACTTCTAATATTATTATCTATAATTTTTGTTTAAAAAAAAATTTCCTGATATGGTCCGTATTCGAGAAATTTGACAAAATGTGCAAAATTCTGATTTTTATGAAAGTTTTTGAAATAAAAGTTGTTTGCGATATCGATCTCTATAATTTTTGTTTATACATGATTTTTCTAAAATGGACCGTAATGAAAAAATTGTAGGAAATTTAAATTTTTCAGTATTTTCGTTTTCCATGAATATCTATAGAAAAATGTTTCGAGGTAGATGTATGTGGACAATGTATATATTTAGTTTATCCTCTAAACATTTATAGAGATGCTGCAATAGGTTGTACAAAATAACCGGAAAAAGCCTATATATAATAACTAGATAGGAAAGTCACGTGTTGGACACATCAGATTTTTTTTAATCTGTTTTCACAGCGAGACGTATATAAGAAAAGGCAACAATTTAAAAATACACTCAATTATAAGCGATACATATCAGAGTTAGGTTTTTAAAATGGAAATTTTCTTTTATATTTTAAATTCGCTCGCTTTTCCCATTATAACAATACCAAATAGTATGATACGACACCTGTGGTGAACTGGAAAACGTGAGTGGCACCAGGCTGTTAATTAGAATTAGCCCGGGCGTCAGTTTTGTTAACGCAGTTTGCTCCGCGAGTACACTCAAAGTAGTCCCAGTGGAGTCAATTCCAGGCGGTTACTAGCAAATGGGGTAGTAACTGAAAAAACCTTAACGCCGATAATACATACCTTACTCAACCTAACAACCTAAAGGGTATAATCACTTGTACCTTTTACCCTAAAGATAATCCTAGAAGAGCTAGATAAATTGCGGGGTAGAGTGAAAAGAAACACAGAAACTTTATGAAAAGAAAAATAGTATTTAAAACGGTAATCACGATGAAGCAATACGAAACGCAAATATTTAGTCTTTATTTACAATACAATACAAAAAAAATAAATATAAAACAATAAAGATAGATATTCCTAATAAGCGGTGAAAAGCTCTAAGTTAATTAGCAGTATAATTAATTCTCAATAAAAATGTTTACAAAATAAACATTAAAAAATAAATATAAATACGGATATTTCTAATAAGCGGTGAAAAGCTTTAAGTTAATTAGCAGTATAAATAAAAAAAGGAAATAAATACAGGGTGAGACTTTGAAAACTTACAATGGCTATATTTTTTTATTAGAGATATTAACAAAATCAAAAATACCGTTTCTTTAAAAAACATATTTTTCAAATTATCCCCAACACCCCTTTAAGCCCAACCCATACTGACGTAAAAATCTTAAGTTACAATACCCCACTTGTGATACCGCTTTGGAAAGCTTATTAAACATCCCTTTCACTGGTCATAAAAAGTATGGCGAATTCAAAAACTAACCTCAAATGTTAAGGTAAATCTTGGCAAACGCACAATGCCTATTATTTCTTTAACGAAGAGATATCAATAAAATGATAAATGCCGTTGTTGTTACAGCTAGGGAGAATCCTAATGACGTATTTTTTAATAATTTAAATTCTTTATTCCACGCTATTTTTAAATAATTAATTAGGACCTAAAATAAAATTTTTAAAAACTTTTTCTACGATTAAAGGTAGTTCAATTAAAACACCGTTGCCAACAAAACTAAATTACACTACCTTAAATTCTAATGAATTTTATAATGCAACTCGTAAAAACTTAATAGAAAATGTAATCTACGCAAAGTTATGTACATGACCTGATATTTGTGCTGCATTTAATATTTTAAGCAGATATCAGTAAAAATAACAAAGAACAATGGGTTTGTTTAAAACATTTACTGAGATATATCAAAGGCACAGTCGATTTAAAACTTACTTATAAAAGGTTTGAATATAAAAATATTCTCATTGGTTACGCGGATTCTGATTGCGAAACTGATGAAATATATAAAAAAAAGACCAACAGGTTATTTATTTGAACTTTTTTTAAATTGTACTATTTCTTGGAATACTAGAAAATAAAATTCCTCAACAGAAGCCGAATATATGGCCTTATTTAAAGGTGTTAGAAAAGCAATAATTTACGAAGATAGCAATGGTTGTATAAGCATTGCAAATAATCCTAGCAATCACAAAAATGTAAATATTGATATTAAGTATCATTTCACACGTGAGCAAATAGAGAAAAAGGTAATAATGCTAAAATATATTTCCACAGGTAATCAACTTGCCGATGCATTTACAAAAAGTTTACCATCAATCAAATTTTCGGAAATAAAATTAAAATTAAATTTGAAATGAAAAAAAAAAAAAAAAATTGTTCGTTAAAACAAAAAAATGTACATATTTTAGGTAGGTAGTACATTATGACTTATAATATTTAAATATTTATACAAGTTTTATATACAATTCTCATAATTTAATTTAAATATGAGTCTATTTCTTACTAACTAGTAACCCGTCAAAATTAAAGTATTTTGTTAATTATCTTTTTTGTCATTTAAATTTAAAATTTTGTTGAAATACATTCGTTGCATTCATCGCTACGCTCAATATTGCATCAAATATACACTAAGCTTTTATTCTCGATTTTTGTTACTACTCCTGGGGACGTCTCTGTAAGCGGATTGCCTTGGCCGATAAGAAAGGTCACTCAACAAATAACTACCTCACAGGCATAATTTATTTCTTGTCCAATTCTCATTGGTTACCGCCATATGCAGCAACAACTTTCATTGGTCACAAGCGTGACTCTCAAGCTCGCTTAATGGGTTGTCTTATTCTTCGCGCCAGATCTTCAGTACCTCTCAAAGAAACCACATCACAGCGTTTTGAAGAGTTAAAAAGGCGACGCTTCGTCTGCCATCATGTAACATTCAAATTTATTCATTCCCATGAGTACAAATACAATACATCTCAAAACCAGAATGTGCACTATGGACTAAAGTATGTGTGTGCACATGTTACATTATTTACGACAGTATTCAATAAATGTACAAGATAGTGAATTAGTGATATTCATAATTAATTATAAATATGATAACATTTTATACATTTGACATAAATTAGTAAAGTTATGTACTTTAATATACATGGTCTGGAAACTACAGTAAATAACTTAATTTGATTTTCGGGGACCTATACTCGGTCATTCAAATAAATAAATGTACCTACTTAGTAAATCAAGTTATATTATTGCATTACGTGATACTTTTTTTATTTTAATAAAGGTTTTGGGGGCGGGTTGGCTCAGTGGTTAGGGCCATGACTTTGAGATCGAAAGGTCTCAAGATCGAATCCCACCGGTGGCAGGAATTTTTATTTAATTAAAAAAAAAAATAAATATTTATTCTAATGCATAGGTATGATTCCCCACTCGACCATTCACTGTTGGGTTCTAATTAACAGTGTTGTTCCTGAAGTGGCGCTGGGAAAAAGTAATAAAGCTTACACAGAACACACACGATTGAGAATTGAAACACAAAACTGAGACTGTCATATACATACACCTAGGCCTAAAAAAAAGAGGTTTTTCTCTATAACATATGAGTAACATGTTATATACTGTATAAAAGTGGCGTTTCTTGCATTTGGTTAATGTTATTTGGTATAATAGCATTGTTAGGCTGCATAAATTTGTTACCAAGTATTTTTAGTTTTAAGTATATTTCTCACTACTGCCCTAATGTAAATTTGATTTATATGTAAGCATTTTGA